GGAATGTCAAGGGGTGTCATGGGCCGGAAAGGGGAAGGGAGAACTGGACCCCAAGACGAAGCTGATGGAGGACCTGTTTCGTATCATGGACTGGTTGCAGGAGAGGCAAGGCAGGGTGGCATACCTGCTGGAGAACTTGGACCTGGAAGGGGACAATCGCGAGCCAATTCGGCTAGTGAGGGAGAAGATTAAGAGACAGTTGGGCAAAGGGGTGACCTCTGATGCAGCAAGGATGGGGTCGTATGCACACCGGCTCAGGATGTATTGGCAAAACGTTGTGCCAGTGCAAGACCTGCAAGAGGAGGCGGATGGGGTGAGGAGAGCTTCGGAGAGAAAGGTACAGGACATCCTGGAGCCCGGGCGGACCCCAGCACCAGTGAGCAGGAAGAGCTACAGCAGGCATTACCCATGTAATCAGGTGGGACAAGACAGACGGGCGCTGCCCACCCTGGTCGCCTATCAGGGGGCAACCGGCTATAAGTGGGAAGCGGGGAAGCCGGGGCCGGGGTTAATATATGACCATAAGAGCCGGCAATGGGAGGAACCAACCGCGCTGGAGCGAGAGCTGGCCATGGGATATGGGGAGGATGTCACAGCAGCCACCGGAGTGAGCGAGGAAGAAAGGAGGAAGGCGTTAGGGAATGCCATGGACGACAACATGCTGAGGTGGCTGGTTCAGCGGATGTGGAGAGAGACGGTTCTGAACTGGGGGCACCGGGAAGATGAGAATGAAACTGCGCCTGTCCCGCAAGGAGCATGGAGCTGCCGGGAGGGGGAGAAAGAAAGGTGGACAATGGGGGACCAGATGAGTGAGGAGGGGAAGGAGGCCATGCAACAGCTGCTGGCCAAGCATAGGAAATGCTTCGCCTTCACCCTGCAGGAGTTGGGACGGTGCAAGGTGAAGGAGATGGAGCTGAAATTGAGCAGCGCAGAGCCCGTGTTCCACCGAAGGAGGAAGATGCCACCTGGGGATGAGGAGATTTGTAAGGAGAAGATCAAGGAATTGCTGGAGGCAGGGCTGATTAGGCGGTCAGAGTCGGAGTATGCCACACCGACAGTGGTAGCTGCACGAAAGGACCTGACGGGGGAGATTCTGAGCAGGAGGATGTGCGGTGATTATAGAGCACTCAACAAAATCACCGTACCGGACAGGTACCCGATGCCAATGGCTGAAGAGATTTTTGATAAGCTGGCGGATGGGGTCTTCTTCACGACGCTGGACCTGCGACAAGGGTTCAATCAGATTAAGATCAGAGAGGAAGACACCAAGAAAACTGCGTTCCATGGGCCAGACGGGCTGTACGAGTGGTTGTACATGCCCTTCGGTCTGAGGAACGCATCAGCCGTGTTCCAGAGGGTCATGGATTCAGTGTTGCGTGATGTGGAGTGTGCTGCATGCTACATCGATGACGTAGTAATCTTCAGCGCCACGGAACAGCAGCACTTACAGGATGTGGAGAGGACGCTGAGTGCAATAGAGGGGGCAGGACTCACCTGCCACCCGAAGAAGTGTAGATGGGGAGAGCAAACCGTACTGTACCTGGGGTACGAGGTGACAGGGGGGCAGATTGGGATTCAACAGGCCAAGGTGGAGGTCCTGGACAAGCTGCGGGAGCCCAAGGATCAATCGGGGCTGCGGGCAGTGCTGGGCTTCCTAAGCTACTACAGGCGGTTCGTGCCTAACTTCAGCAAGCGAGCCACGGTGCTGAATGGGATGCTGAGGGAGGACAAGGCGTGGGAATGGGGAGAAGCACAGAAGGAGGCTTTGAAGGATTTGATGACAGCGGTTAAGACGGCAACGGTGCTGCAGCTCCCGGTAGCGAACCAGCCGTTTACCCTCTACACCGACTGGAGCAGCCAAGGAATGGGGGCCATACTCTGCCAAGAAAAAGAGGGGGAAAGAAAGCAGGAATGGCAACAGGAAGAAGAGCAGGTGCTGGAGGAGGGGTGTTCTCCGACAGTCCGGTTCGTTTATAAAACAGAAACACCTCCTGGAACCCTTTAAAACTGATTTTAACGGCCTTTTTTAACGGTAAATAAATTTATAGCCCTTCCTCTCACCCTCCATCCATCCATAATTTCATGATCCATCGACCGATCTCATCCACGCATTACCGCATTACCCGTGAGCAATCCCTCCTCGCAGGGCCAGTGGGTTGTTGGCGGGTCTGCAGTACAGCCACATCACACTCACCACGCCCAAGCGTGCACTCAACATCACAGACGACCTAGCCTACACAGATACCACCACCACAACCCACCTGCCTAAGGGCTTCCCAGAGGACGCCACGCCGGGTTTCTTCTTCATGCCCGAGTCCTTCGTGCATCTCCTGCGCTTCCCTCTCTTGATGAGCCTTATCGACGGGGTATGTTCTCTTCAGCCTCTGCTTGTCTGGAAGCCTGGCCAGGCCAAACTAGCGAGTGAAGCTGGCATCATTCTTGCTGCGTTTATGCGTTCCGTTGTTGTTGTTTGAGCTGTCTCATGCCGCTAGGACTGGTCTGCTCTCCGTGACTGGTTACTCGAGTCATCAGGGAATTGGCTTGCTCCGTGCTGCTCGGACCACAGGGTCGGGTGACATCATTGTCTGTGTGACATCAGTCTCTTTTCTTACGTGTATTCAAATGTCTTTTGAGTCGACTCAAAAGTCACCTCGGACCACGGAGTCGGGTGACATCATTGTCCGTGTGACATCAGTCTCTTTTTTTACGTGCATTCTAGTGTCTTGATAATGGCCTGGCTTCTGGCTTAAGGCGTGTTATTTCTTAGAAATATGGTAAAAGTCTGTACGCCATCGTGGAAACAACATTATTGTCTTACATGTATATTATTGTCTTATCGTGGAGACAACTATCTGTTTTCTTACATGTATATTACGTGGTTCAGAACTGGTCTGGATTCTTGTTGAGCGGCTTCGGACTTGGTTGACTGTATGTAGCGCAGCAGGGCTTGTTTCCTTCATCCATGGGAGAGCGTCCCTCTCAAGCTCCTCATGTGCGTGCCTGGTTCATCATGCTCGTATCCACTTCTCGTTGTACCGTCCCGCTCATTGCTTGTGCTTGTACATGTGCGTGCGCATGTGTGTGCATGTGCATGTGCGTAATCATGTGCATGTACATATGCGTGCATGTGCACGTGGATGTGCGTATGCGTGTGCATGTGCGTGTGCGTGTGCACGTTTTCAGCTCAAATCCATGACAGGACAATACATTCAAACTGATGGCAGTTATTTTCAGCTTCCATGCTTCGAGTGAGTTTCTAAGCCAGACCTCCGTCAACCGATCGAGAAGAGAGTGCATATGTCCGTTCGTGTTAATGTTCTTGTTAATCTCTCCCACAAGCGTTCCTTAGTGTGAATGGAACCTAGGAGTACATGCTATGCTGTGACTGCAAGGTGAGTGAGCCATACCGATCCAACCTCTGTGGAAGGATCACCTCTAGCTCTTGGGCGCCTAGGTGCATCACCTGCTGCCGCAACCCAATCCAAAGCACGTCAGGTGAACCAATGGCAGGTTACATGAACAGGACGTGCAGTGTGTCCGCTTGGCTGTGGATTTGTATAGCTGGCTAAACCATGAAGCCATCTGGGAGCCTGGAATGGTTATACCCAGGTTCCTAGGTCCTAAAATGGAATGGGTTTGTAGCTATAAGGTGTGCGGCCCACTCTATTTGCTGTTGTGGAAGCATGAGCGTGTGTGCGTCCAAGGTCAGTGCTTGCTACGACAACGGGAGTTTTCGCTGAGGAAGGCAGCGTTGTCATCAGTGTAACATGGAAATCCACTCTACTGACCGCCCAATAGTGTTGAAGTGTTCATATTGGCTCACCCACACACTCCTCCATAACCTAACTGTACACCCCCTTTTATACTGTCTGCCTTTTTAACCATTGACTCTGGTTTGATAATGAGTGGTTTCTTCTTTCTAGTTTACTCTCTGACAAATTTTCCAGTAAGTCCTCTGACCGCCTTGTCTCCATTTCCTCCTCACTCGCGCCAACACGAACGAAAACACGGCGGGGGATCCGTTCACCACCTTCCCCACCATCGACATTGCTTTCCTCTCTCCCAACAGCACCATCTCCCACTTCTATCTCAAGCCTCGCGAGTACCTCACACAGGTCAGTGGTTCACTGGCTCCTCTCGAATACCTCACGAGTAAAACTGCCAATGTGATTCACGGGCTCCTCTCGTTGCACTCTAGTACACCTGCCCATTTGTCATTGCTAGAACCTTTAACCAGCAGCCTCGGTTTCCGTTTATTTCAACTTATCCAAACACATGTCAGAGCAGGACAAACAGGGAGTCACGTTTCAGTTGCCACACGCATGCTCTCTCCCCTCTCTGCTGCCCTTTCCCTTCCGTCTCCTCTCCCCTCCTTTCTCGTCTCCTCCACTCTCTCTTCCCTCTCATCATCTCTCCGCTCCCTGCGGTGCTCTTATCCCCTTGCTCTCCCCATGTTCCACTCTTCCATGCCATCTAAGCCCTACTTCACCCTGAGTCCCATTGTCAGAGCCTTTGGCTAACATCACTGGGTCTCTGAGTCGCTCAGTGGCTGGCTGTCGCTTGGGCCCATGCCTCCCCAATCCCATGCGCCCCCCACAGGTTATTGGTGGTGATTCTGAATACTGCATCTTGGCCACCGCTACTCCTCAAAGTGAAAAGTGGGCCAGTTACATTGGAGGTAAGAGAGCTACCTACGGCACATTTGCACTTCTCCTGAAATTCTGCCAGCAATATGTGATTCAATCTTGAGAATTCTCAGATGCAACCTGAGTTCCTGCCAGCTCCCTTCGTTCGCCTTTCCCCACCAATTTACTTCGCTCCCTTCGTTCGTTGTGCTGCCCATTCTCTGCCATCCACGACAACACGCCTCCCATCCCATCCGTTCACTGACCGATGCAAACTGAGAAACTTGGGCAGGCATGTATCTCCAAACGCGGTTGCATGCGGTATGACTCCATGTATGACTGACTTCATTCTGGAGCCCACAAGCGGGAGTCCAGATGGGCTTTTATAATGTCATCGCCTTTCGTCCCTGCCTGACCTGCCCTTCCCACTTCCCTGCCACCAACACCACTCCCTTGTCCCTGCCCTCCACTCCGGGTGCACGTGGCGGTGATGAGCAGAGCCGGGGCTGGTCGGCAAGTACCTCTTTATCGACCACAAAGACGGGATTGGAGGATGGATGAATGCCCCTCACTGTAAGCTACCACTCACCCTGCCCGCAACGCCTGCCGGCCCTTTCCGTCTCTCCAGCACACGTATCCACCTCTTGTCCAAGTCGTCTTTCTTACTCCGTCTTGTGAATTTCTCGGCTCTGCTTTCTGCGGACATCCTGTGTCCTTCACCTTTTATCACTGTAAAAATCAGTAGAAGGATTAGGCTATTCACACCAAGTCTTTCTGTCCTTGCTATGGAATAGTATCCAACTTTCTGTGCAGTGCACAAGTGCTTTGCCAATGTCCGCACTCTATTTCGGCCCATTTCCGTAATTGTCTGTTGTGTAAATCTTGCTCTCTTTGGCCCTCGCTTGCCTCACACCCCTTTCTGAACCTTCACTCTTCTCTTCTCCCCTCTCCTCTCCTCCTCTCCTCTCTTCCCCTCTCCTCTCCTCTCCTCTCCTCTCCTCTCCTCTCCTCTCCTCTCCTCCTCTCCTCCCCTCTCCTCCCCTCTCCTCCCCTCTCCTCTCCTCTCCTCTCCTCTCCTCTCCTCTCCTCTCCTCTCCTCTCCTCTCCTCTCCACTCACCTCCCCTCGCTTCCCTTCCCCCTCATCTCAACAGGTGGAGCTGAGCCTCTGCTGCCGCCACCCTCCCCTCCTCCACCACCCTCGCCTGTTTCCAAAGGGGCCTCCCACTCCCTCTCCCCAGTGCCCGCAGCACTCTCAGCTGCCCTTGTCCTTGTCACCTCCACCGCCCTGCTTGCTCTCACTCTCCTGTAGAGCCTGAGTTCTGCAGGAGCACTTCGAGCCTGTGTCTCTCGCTTGCTCCTGTGCTGCTGGCCAGCTTGTGGAAGCTTATCAGGCAGTGCGTACATGTCGAAAAAATAGTTCTATCTACATTTTGCTGCTTGGATGCTGTGTCCTTTGTTGGCTGAATGGTGTTTTCGTAAGAAGGGCTTGTACATGTGTGATGCTCGCAGTGGCTGCTTTTGTGCGATATAGAAGCACTTGTTAGAAGGTTCAGGTCCTGACCTGATGGTGGCAAGTGGTGATGACTCCACCTGGTGCAATCCAGGAAATGGGTCACCAAGGACCAATGGAAGACGTTTACTCAGGTGCAGAAGGAACATAAACACTTTGTCTGAATCTCCAGACCAAATCTACTTTGTAGCGTAAGAAAACAAGGCGCAACTACACGCCTTCAGGAATCAAACCCTGACCTTAGCTGCAAGATGGTAACAACTGGGAAATAAGCCGCATCAGGCGAGACCATATAATGAATGAGTCCATACCAAATGGCACTGCGATAGTCCAGCCAGCTGTTAGTAGTACAGGGCCAGTCAGTGATTATAATTAAACAAAAATTAGCCCAGTACAGTGTACAGAGATAAAGCACGTGTAAGGAATTTTCTCGATATTCCTTAGCGCGCCCTGCAACACCGCGTACAGCAGCAGCCGTTGTTCGCCCGTTACTGCTAACGGGGCTTCGCCGACTTCGCGCACTGTTTCACCAAACCTCGCACTGCTCGCCTGGCCGCGTCGGCCTACGCTTCTGGACTAGCCCGAGCCTCGCTTCCAGCATAGCACTAGCTAGCTCGCACGCACCGCGTTACCGTTTGCATGTTTTCGCGTATAAATGTTCGCTCATGCCTTCGCTCACATTTTGTACTCGTTTGACACCTTAGTGCAATTCTCACTACTTCGATTCATTGCACCCGTAACAGCACGCAACAATCGAGGTGCTGCGACGTTTCTGGCGAAAGCGAAACCGTAAAAATGGTTACGCGCCTTAAACTTCTTGCGAGAAGCTGGGGGCGCGATCGGTTGTGCATATCAACATATCAAACCTGGTATGCCGGAGGTACGGCACCTCTCAAAGTAGTCCCTGATTGGTCGGGTTGACTGTAGAGAAGATATGACTGGCTGTGATCGTAACAGAACCGAATCTGTTGCGGTCTGGCCCGTCCCAAACCAAACCCAAAGCCGAATCTTGCTTGGCGGGACTTGCTGTGTGCAGCACAGGGCTAATGCCATCACAGATGCACAGACCGCCTGATTCATTTCCTGTCTGCCAAACGTCGCATGTGGTTGGGTCGCATCGCACCGCACCCATCGAAGCCACTAGATGTACTGGCTAAGAGGTTCGAGAATATTACGTGCGACGAGCCCACCGCCAGCCGCTCGTTCGTTTGGCGGTGAGTCCTGCGATTTTTGCGAGTGGCTGTGTCGGCTTCACGGCCCGGCCGTACCTATAGGTATGGGCCATACCTATAGTGACAAGCTTTCGTGCCAAAGCCTTTCGCCTCTACTCGGACTCCACTCTAGTGATAATTATAGCGCTTTGCACTAATCTCATTACCCTACGTGTCTGTGGAGCTTCGTGACGCTCGCACAACGTAAACTTATTCACGCGGCTTCTACTATGGATTCCTCGTGCCGTGGCGCCTCCCTTTGTCTGCTCGTGTCGCTCCTGCTCCTCTCCCTCAGCGTCTTGCGGATCCACGCGCGCTACGGCCCCGAGGTAGGCGTTGCGGACGCTCGTTCGAGCAGAAGTATTACATGAAATGCCGCAATTTCCAACAGCAGTTCGACTCGCAGGCGATTTCGCAGGCGATGCTAGCATTGCTGGGCACAGTCCCGCGACATGTGGCGCTAGATTAGTAGTTGCAATAAAGTCGCCGCGACATGGTGACTCACATCCTAGGACGCCGCCGCGTGATGTGGCGCTACGTGTAGTTCAGAAATCAGATGCATGACCGGCTTTGTGGCTACTATTTTTTACAATTTCGCAGGTCGGAGCATCCGGGGGGCGCCAGAACGATCCATCAGCCGGCAGCGGCGGCGGAGGGGCGGCCAACACGGGGAGCGACGTTACGGAGTCGATTGCGGAGTGGCGGCGGCGATCAGCGGAAGCGGGCGCGCACTTCTTCCCCCTGCAGCGCGCGGAAGTCGCCCCCAGCAGGGACGAGCTGCACCGGCGGATCCTCGGCCCCTCCGTGAGTGCGGGGAGGGGAGTGGAGTGGAGGGGCCGGGAGCAGGGCATTGCTGCTGCTTGACCGATTTCACGATATCACAGAGCGTTGCCTCCCTCTAGGCTGGCGGACGTAAGAGGAGTCAGTAATACACAGAATTCTATAATCTATGACGTGACTTGGCTGCTTTGCTGCGGTGTGTCGTTGCGATTGACGTGCACCCATAATGTGTGTCTCCTCGTCGCTTCATGCTCCCCCCACGATCCGTGGCATGCGCAGGGCGTAGGCGGCGGCTTGAAGAACAAAGGAACTTCACCCAAGTCATCGCAGGTGGGTGGGCACTCACGAAACGACTGCTGCTACTACCATAGCACACTAGTAGTCTGATGGTCTCACCGTATGCCACGGTGGCAGGTGGCTGGCAAGAGGCAGGCGACACGACATTTCACCAGCTGCCCGCCATTCGCCCATTTCTAGCCTTGCCGCGAGGTGTTGAATTGGGACTCATTGCTCCGTTGCTTCCCAGTGCGTCCTCGGGTCTCTCATTTCCCATCGCATGTCTAAACAACAGCCTTGTCGTGTCTTGCTGTCAAACAAGCATCTCGCCTGCCCCTGCCTCGTGTAAGTCTGACTTATTGTGCCGCGTCCGGTCGGTGTTCCTACATTGTTGCGTGCAGAAGAAAGGGTTTCCGCTGCCGCTGCTGGACTATGACAGCACGCTGCTCTCCACGGCTAACGGCACCCTGGGCAACACCCTGGTCAACTACAGCACCTACCTCGACGACAACCAGATCCGCCTCCCGTATGCTCCGAGCCGTGCCTCACTCGCTGCATCTCACTCGCTGCATCTCACTTGCTGCACGCCACTCGCTGCATGCATATGTGCTGCGCATCCCATCCAGCTGCCCGCCTTCTACCAGAATCTCCCATGCGAGCGCTTTGTTCACATGCTTGCACTTCCCCTCCCCCTTCTGCACGCCACTGGTTGTCTTGCCTTCTGAGGATGGAGTCTAATAGATGGAGCGAAACATGCCAGCGTCTTCCCTCCCTCCCTCCCTCACATGCGCAGGGCTTTAAAACCCACTCCACCCGTGTCCTTTGCCCACTCTTTCACTCCGCCCACAGCAACTCCCTCACTCCTCCCCCCGGCGCCCACTCCTCTGCGACCTTGCTTCTCTTTCTCCCCTCCTCCCCCTTTTCTTCCCTTTCCCCTCCCCCCCCCCCTTTCCACCTTTTTGCACATCTCTCCCCCACCAGCGTGTATCCGTACTACGTGACGCTCAAGCTGGGGTCGCAGAAGCAGCAGTTCAGCATGGCTCTCAACCTGGCCTCGCCCTTTACCTTCGTGCCCTGCGACTGCCTGCACTGCGGCACCTCTCGCATGGGGGTGCGTGGGGTTGTGCCGACCACGCGAGCGAGGGGTGCAAGGGGAAGGAGACGGTGGTGGGCTGGGACTGGGAGAGGGAGGGTGAAACTGAGTGAGTGAGAATGAGAGTGAGTGAAAGTGAGGGTGAGAGTTAGTGAGATTCTGGGTGGGAGTGGGTGCGAGGGTGTGCGAGGGTCTTTTGGAACATCGCTTCTCCCTTGCTGGTATTTTGAAACCACCCTTCCCACCCTTGCCTTGCCACTTCTTCCCCTCCGTCTCCCCCTTGCTCTCATCTTGCTTGCCGGGTTGAAAACAATCTATTATTTATGTCGACTAAAAGCTCGTCTCGCTCTGCCCCTGCTCTCATCTTTCTCCGTGGGTTGAGGTCCATCCAGGCATGGCCATGAATCCCTCCTTCTTTTCTCCATTCTGTGTAACCCCCCACCAAGGAATTCATTTCCTGCATCTCCTTGGGTGGAGTTCATCTAGCCTGCTCAAGCCGCATGCCTCTGTCCTTAGCTCTCTCTCTCCCATTGCCCTGTGAAGACACATGCAAGAATGATGAATCCAGTCATGGTGAATCCAATTCTGCTTCTAGCCTCACTTCCCCAAACCCTTCCCGTCCCCACCCATCTCCCCATGCCCCCAACTCCACTCCCCAACGACTCCTTTAACTCTCCCTCGCCGCGCAGACCACGACAAGCAAGCCCTTCAGCACGCTCACCTCCACAACGCTTGAGTACATCTCCTGCGCCGACCAGCGCTGCCAGGGGGGCAGCAAGGACGGAAGTGGTTACTACGGCTGCAACACGGATGGGCTCTCCAACTACCTCAACGTCACGGGCTACCTGCCTGGCGACGACGCACTCTGTGTTTTTGATGCATACGCAGAGCCCTACGACTACTACGAAGCTGACTATGAGTCAGGATGGTACTCTGAGTCGGTAGGGCATGTGGTGCAGGACACTGTCTACCTCACTGCACCTGATGGTACCGAAGCCAACCGATCCATGATTCTAGGGTGAGACTCCATGCCGATTGCACGCTCTCTCCCATGCTTCTTCTCTCCTGTGGTTTGCCTCTTTTGAGAATTCTCGAAAGCACACTCAACATAGCTTTGCATGCTCTCTCCCATGCCTCTTTCCCGTGGTTTGTCTCTTTTGAGATGTCTCAAAGTAAACTCAACATAGCTTTGCACGCTCTCTCCCATGCTTCTTCTCTCATTCTCTCCCGTGGTTCTTCTCTCCCGTCCAACCTCTTGATCGGTTCCTCACCCCTTACCTCGGACTGCCTCTCTCTCTCCTGCTCTCTGCGCGCCCCCCATTGCCTCCCCAGCTGTGGAGTGAACCAGACGGGCCAGTGGGGCATGCAAGGGTGGCAGTACGGCTCGTGGGCAGCAGGAGGCGTGCTGGGGCTGGGGTGGGATAGTCCTTTTCTTGAACAGCTCACCTCAAGCACTAGCGCCTTCGCTGTGTGTTTGGAGCAGCCCATCCTGACGAACAAGACGGGGTGGGATGGCAAGGTGCCGCTGCAGACAGGCAGCAGCCATCTCACCATCGGAGCCACCGGCCTCCCTGCCGGCGCCAGCTACGCCTCCTTGTAATGATAACCACCTTGCTGCTGCTCCATGTTCCTTCTTGCTCTCTTTCTCTCTCTGCCGGCGCCAGCTACGCCTCCTTGTAATCACTCCTTGACGCCGCCTCCCTTGCTCTCTTTCATCCATCCATCCATCCATCCATCCATCCACCCACCCATCCATCCATCCATCCACCCATCCATCCATCCATCCATCCATCCATCCATCCATCCATCCATCCATCCATCCATCCATCCATCCATCCATCCATCCATCCATCCATCCATCCATCCATCCATCCATCCATCCATCCATCCATCCATCCATCCATCCATCCATCCATCCATCCATCCATCCATCCATCCATCCACCCATCCACCTCTCGCCCTCTTCCACTATGAAAACCCTCCATCAGGCTGTACCCGACCGGCATGCAGTACAGCCACATCACACTCACCACGGCCAAGCGTGCACTCAACATCACAGACGACCCATCCAATGTAGACGGGGACTCATCCTTCCTGCCTCCAGGGGCCGCTGAGGATACCACGCCGGGCTTCTTCTTCATGCCCGAGTCCTTCGTGCATCTCCTGCGCTACCCTCTCTTTCTCAGCCTCTTCTACGCTGTATGTTTCCCACAACCTTAGCCTTCAGACTTAGTGGCTTAATACTTCACAGCTTGAAACAGGGGCTGCCGATATTGCATGCTTCTCCAATTCCGTTCTCCCCTCATGCTCCTCTTGTGCTTCCTTTTGGGCGCAACTTGTTCTGATTGTGCCCACCTATTGATGTGCATGTGCATGTGAATTGGCATGCGTGTGCATGTGCATTTGCATGTGCATGTGCATGTGCATGTGTGTGTGTGTGCGCTCGCGCATATGTGCATGTGTGTGCATGTGCATGTGTGTGCGCATGCGCATGCGCATGTGTGTACGCATGTGTGTGTGTGTGTATGTGTGTCTGCATGTGCATGTGCATGTGCATGTTTGCAGCTCCAAGACCTGACAGGGCAAACATTCGATATCAATGTCAACAATAGTCATATGTTTCGGCTTTTGTGCTTCGCGTAAGTTCTACCAAACTCATGCCTTACCTTTTTATGCCCCCATGTGTTCCGAATTCCGTCCATCGATAACGTTGTTCTCACATCATTCTCACACAACGCATCCCCAGTTCTCTGCTCTCTCTCAAGCGTCCATGGTTGCATGCCACTGGAAGATACGCGTGAGAGAGTGAGAGTGATCCATCCTCCGAAAACCGCTTGAGACGACTCTATCACAAGGTAAGCAATAGTGATCCATCCATCCATCCATCCATCCATCCATCCATCGATGCTACGGAAACCTCACCTCGCCCTCCAATGTGAGGTTCCAAATGCTCCACGTGCTGCAGCCGACACAACTGGTGAGCCAACGCCCGCTTGCTTGGCTATCCTTGGATTTTTCATGGGCCTTCTATCGTACATCTGGGCTATCGGGAGAGCCATGCCCAGTCGGAAGGAGAGGGTGGTGGCAGCGGAGTGAGAAAGTGAGAGACGGAGGGAGGGGGGAGAGGAGGATGGCCAAGAAACATCCCGGCCACAGCCGTAAAGCATGTTTCCTATTCATACACCTCCCTTTCTAGTGACCGTGTTTTTAAGCAGGAGGAGTTCCTTGTACTTAATCAATTCCCTTATCGCTTTGTCTCTCTCTTCCCCACACTCGCACAACCATGCTCCTCTAACAGCAACAAGAACAAGGCGGTGGATCCTTTCACAGCCTTCCCCACCATCGACATTGCTTTCCTCTCTCCAGACAACACCATCTCCCACTTCTATCTCAAGCCGCGCGAGTACCTCGCCCAGGTCAGCGTCCTTGTCATTCATAGTCTCCTATCACCTCGACCAGGTCAGCGTCCCTGTGATTCATTCATGAAACCCCCCTCCGCCTCCCCTCCGCCTCCCCTTCGCCTCCCCAAGGCCCGTACACCTGTAGCAGTAGGATCAAATCAAATACAGAACCCTTTCTCAGCAGCTTCGTTTCCCCATTCCTCTTTCCAATCAACCAGCCGGATCGGATGCCAGAGTAGAAGGAAGGAACACAAGGACCATGTTTCAGCTGCCACCCACTGGCTTTGCCTTTAAATCAAGCAAGTAATGCCTGCCCATCTGATCCAACGCCAGCGTGTAATGAGTCGTGTTTTGAGTCGACTCAAAACACAGCTGCCACCCACTGGCTTTTAAGAAATCAAGCAACTAATGCCTGCCAATCCCATCCAACAACTTTTGAGGCGCCTCTAAAGGTCCACTTGCTCTTTTGAATCAAGCAAGTAATGCCTGCCCAACTGATCCAACGCCAGCCCCTCCCTTCCCTCCACTGATCCGCTACCCATTGGCTGTTCGAAACTTGATTTCCACGTTCCTTCTCTGGGTCTACGATGCCTCGAATGTTCCTTTACAATTGCTCATTACTCTTTTTTCTCCTCTCTCCTTTCTCTCCTCTCTCTCCTCTCTTCTCTTCTCTTCCCCCTCCTCTCAACCCTCATCAATCAGGTGGGGCCATTCCCTTGGTCTCTCCATACTTCACTCTGCCATGCCATTTAAGCCCTCCTAGAGTCTCCTTGTCCGAGCCGTCGGATAACCCCACTGAGTCACTGAGCGGCTGTCTCTTGGGCAAGTTGAGGATCCCCCCCCGTGCCACGCATCAAGGCTCTTCCCCACTCTTATGCGCCCCCACAGGTTTCGGCATCTGAATACTGTGTTTTGGTCACCTACATGCTCTCGCAGGCAAAGTACGCTAGTTACATTGGAGGTACGTGGCTTTCCCTTCTTTCCCCGTCGACATGCCACTCTGCTTCAGTGTCCTATGCCAGTTTCAACGTAGGCAGGGGGTACCTATTTTCCCTTCCCTTTTCCCCACCATCCTATCACCCACCATCCTATCACCCACCATCCTATCACCCACCATCCTATCACCCACCATCCTATCACCCACCATCTTATCACCCTACATACTCTCCTGACTCCTCTTACGTTCACTCGTCGTGCATTCACGTGACTCCTCTTGTCTATCCACTTACTGTGCTGTGCTGCCCACTTTTACCATCCACCACCTACTCCTCGCAACACGCCTACCAGACCAGCTGCCCACCAAATCATGCAAGCTGGTGGTTTGAGCCCACAAACGGGAAGCAGGCCAGATGGTCCAGAACACACACTAGTCCTTACTCCTTATCATCATGCTCTGCCGATGCCATGCACAGGCTTTTGGGTCGTCTCAAAAGCGCGTGTTTTTTGAGAATTCTCAAAAAACACGCGTTTTGAGAATTCTCAAAAAACACGGCTTTTGGGTCGTCTCAAAAGGCACCACCATTGCCATGCTCTATCGCTCTAATTGCCGACCCCATGAGTATCCAATTAAATTGACACCTCCCTTCGCTTCCCCCTGTCTGTGCGGATGAGCAGAGCCGGGGCTGTTCAACAAGTACCTCTTTCTCGACTACACCAACGGGACTGCAGGGTGGATTGACGCTCCTAACTGTAAGCTGCTGCTCTCCCTGCCCACAACGCCTCCAGCACATGTACCGCCTCTGTCCCGTGTACCTTTCGTCTTGTGCTCGGGTAACAGCAATTTTCCACACTGTTTTCTGTGAACATTTGAGTCGACTCAAAATTCATCTGGACTTGCAACAGGGATTGCGTTCCCGGCACAGACACACCAAGCGTTTGTGTTGGCACGAAAAAAAAATAAAAGCAAACAAAAAACAAAAAAACAAAACACACACACACACACACACAATAGCAGGTGGAGAGCATGCTTTTTATCCCAACGGCTGCCACCGCTACCCCATCTCCTCTCATCCCAACAGGTGGAGCTGAGCCCCTGCTGCCGCCACCCTCCCCTCCTCCACCATCACCTCCCTCGCCTGTTTCCAAAAGGGCCACTCGCCCTCTCTCACCCGTGGCAGCAGCACTCACAGCTGCCCTTGCCCTTGCCACCTCCGCCACCCTGCTTGCTCTCACTCTCCTGTAGAGTCGGATTTCCTCGGGGAGCATTTTGAACCCGAGTCTTGTCCCAGAAGCATCCACTCTCGCATGCTCCTGTGTTGCTTGCCCGTCAAATTGTGGGAGCTTTTTAGTCTTGTGGACTAATGTGAGTGATAGCAATCAGGCCCAACGATTGGTTCGAGCTGTATTGAGCTGCCTGGAATGATCTTTGCGGATGGCTCCTGTGAGGGGGGAATGCTGTTTGTGTAAAAAGGACCACTTCAATGTGATGCTCCCATCCCATGCCAGAAAGTGGTGCTCATACCATTCTCATAATGCTCTCCAGACAGCGGATATCAAGGTAAAACATCCTGATTACCCTTATTTTAGGATGGTGTTTTGAGTTAGCCCTGTAGTTTCAAAATGCTGTCAATTTTTACCCTGCGACCTCATGATGGTGTTATAAGTTATGCCCTGAAATTTCAATATGGCTGTGGTGTTTTGCCCTGTAGCATCAGGTTGAAAGTCGAGGATTGCCCTGAACGCGTATAGAGAGGGCTTTCCCCAATGATTTTGTCCTTCGTTCGCATGATCCCTTACCACATTGCAAATTTGTCTCCCATACGCACCAACCAAACCCTTGCAAATAATCTGAGCTGGGAGTAGGCAGGCAGGGCACGGCAATCCATACGTCCTGTACCACGCATGCACTTGGCTGGGCGTCTCCCTGAAGGCATAGCTTCCCCTCCAACTCTCTCCTCCAGCGTTGCTGTTAGTGTACCAGCAGTACCGTCATCGCTCGGATATAAGACAGTGTTGAATAGTAGACAGGGGTTGTCTACTATACGGGTGTCTCTTATAAACAGGCTAGCCTTTTTATACGACACCTATTTGTGTGTACGAGATAAGACATATGTGTCTTATGATCGAAACTGCAATGCATTATAGTGAGAATTGAAATACCGCGTACATTTTTACCCCTGCGACACGCGAATTCTGCCACGTGCTGACTCACGTACTACCAAATTTGCCTATGCAAGTATTCGGGATGACGTGGCGTCCCGAACAATGGTTGCCGAAGTGGCACCTTCGCAACTTCCACACTCTTAATGAGAAACTCTTTTCAAGATGCGTGAAAATATTTCTAAGTAGTTTAAAAAACTTTCCATTTATAAGACTTATAAGACACCCAAAACCTCCCCAAATACAAGATAACCCAAGCATTTTTTTTAGTGTATGAGATAAGACATATACCGTATACTCCCGGACAAAACACCCCCCCATAATTGTACACCCCCGGGTAGCTTGTGCGGGGTGGGTGTTATGATAGACCTCGTTTCTACTATACCCCCCTTTTTGGCTGATTTTCTATAACACCCCCCCTTTTCTTACGGATTCATTATTATAGTCGTTAACGAGTAGCTGCAATACGGAAGAATATCGTGTGAATTTCTCCCTCAATGAAATTTCGCGGTACATTCAAAGGCAATCTGCCGAGATTTGCCCCCTCCCACTATTTCTCTGTCGCCACGTGCAGGTGAATCTTCCGTTGCAAGTGGCAAGAGAGGTGCCACATGCCATTTTCGTGGGGGCGATGAAGTTCGAGGCCGAAACTCACATTCGCGCCTCAGGCAGTGATGCTAAAACGACCAGCAAAACACCCACATTGACTAATTAAAAAAACACTAACACTAAGATATGCCATATGTAAAGACCCGGGTATTATGTATTTTTTTCCTATGAGGAGACCCCCCCCCATTTTTTCCCTGTATTTTTAGCTATACCCTAGGGTGTTATGTCCGGGAGAATACGGTATGTCTTATATCCGGGCGATGACGGTAGCTTATCTCGGCTGACTCACTCGTTGGTAGGCATGCCCAACGAAGGCAATGTCGCAGCGCCAGTAGCAACCGGCAAACCTGTCAAATTATATGCCTATGTCATAATAAAATGTAGGCTTTAGTGGGGTAGCTAATGTAGGGTATAGTTTGTGTTACTTGTACCCAACTTTCTCGATAGTCGAACCATCCTTTCCCTTTACTCTCGACATGGTATTAAGAGCAACATAGGTCCTTACGACCGTTTTAGGACTGTTTTTCAGGGCCCACCAACCGTTTTCCGCCGGTTACCGAGTTACCCCGCCCCTTGCCTACACTGCCCTGCGTCGCGAGCCCTCGCGCTCGCCTCTGCTGGCCCTCGTACAGCCCGCTAGCAGCCCGCCTGCTGTCTCGTCAGCCCCGCGCGTAGCTCGCTAGCTGCCCTGTCAGGCCCGCACGCCGCCCCGCAGCCCCCGAGCTGCCTTCTCCTGCCCCGCACGCCGCTCCGCAGCCCTCGCGCTGCTTTCTACGGCCGCCGACGCGGCCCCGCCCTGCCACTGTCGCGGCCCCGCCCTGCCACTGTCGCGGCCCCGCCCTGCCGGCGACGCGGCCTTGCTAGGTCGCTGTCGCGGCCCAGTCCTGCCGCTGCCGCGGCCCCGACCTGCCGCTGTCGCGGCCCCGCCCTACCGCCGACGCGGCCCCGCCTGGCCTGCGCGCTGCCCTGCACCAGCGACGCCGCCCCTGGAGCAGCCGCTCCTGGACCCAGAGCAGCCGCCCCTGGCCCCTGAAGCAGCCGCCCCTGGTGCAGCCGCCCCTGGACTCCGTGCAGCCGCCCCTGGACCCCGTGCAGCCGCCCCTGGATCCCGAGACGCGCCTGCACTCGGTGCAGCCGCCCCTATCTCACCTCGCGCCTGCCTTCGTGCGCCTACCCTGCCGCCGCCCGCCGAGCACTGGCCCTGCTCGCCTGGCGAGCACCTGCCCTTCCCACCACTGGTGAGCACCTGCCATGTTTTTGCGCTGCCGCGCCATCTGCCTGCCTGCCTGCCTGCCTGCATGCCTGCCTGACTGCCTATCTGCCTGCCTGCCGCGCCTGCCCTGCCCGCGCTGCTACTGCTGCTACTTCTGTTACTGCTACTAGGCTGCTACTGCTGCTACTGCTGCTACTACTGCTACTGCTGCTACTGGCGGTGGCCAAATGCAACTCCAGCGACGTCCGCGCGAGTCTCTCATGCCCCAGCAGCTTCGTGAGTGGTACGCTAGTTGGGGTTGTGGCGGTAGCCACCGTAGCTGTCGCCCTGAAGCTGGTCAGTCGGGAGCGTCTGGCAGTGGCCAGCTGCAGCTGCAGCGGCGTCCGCGCGAGACACTTACGCCCCAGCAGCTTCATGAGTGGTACGCTCAGAGTAGAGGGTCTTGGAGTACCGTTCGTTGCCCGTACGTCATTTGCACAGGTGATCGGGCTGGTCAGGCTTGCGGGACGCTTGGTCATACACGGTCCCGCTGCTTCGCCCGTCTGAGAGACGCCTGGCTACCGAGTTTGGCGACGAGGCTGAGCTCCCCACCTGGCTGGAGCTACTTAGGCAGAGGGTAGATATCTTTGCTCTTGACTATGATGCTATTCTCACTGCCATGTATGCATTGCCTACTAGTGCTGACCGTGCTTGTTACCTGTGCGTACCGCCTGACCCAGGTATAGAGCCTGCTGCTCTAGGTGCTGGTGAGGCTGCTGCTCTAGGTGCTAGTGCGTCTCCTGCTCTAGGTGCTGTTGAGGCTTCTGCTCCAGGTGCTGGTGAGTCTGCTCTCTCTGGTACTGCGCCTGCTGAGGCCTTGTACACCTTCACACTTGACTCAGGTGCTTCTCACTCCTTCTTTCGCGACAGCACCACCCCCACGCCGCTCAGTCGGCCGGTTGCAGTCTCCCTTGCAGACCCCTCTGGGGGTCTAGTCCTTGCGCACTCCTCCACGGTCCTACCGTGTCCGGCGGTCCCGTCTGGCTCCCTGTTAGGTCTTCACCTCCCCTCGTTCTCTACGAACTTGGTGAGTGGTGCTGACCTCCAGGACCAGTGGGTTGACCAGTTCACTCCTGGAGGTCAGCGCATGACCCACTGTACGTGCTCTCGGACGGGCCGGCACCTGGCCACGTTTACCCGTGCGCCTGGCTCGAGTCTGTACACACTGACTACTGTGTCCCCTCAGGTCGCTGCATATGCGTCTGCATCAGGTCAGCTAGCGGCCCCCTGCTTGTGTCGCGCTTTGTCGCACCAGACCCTCCTTGGGCACCACCTTCTTGGTCACCCCTCGGTGCAGCGCCTTTGTAGCATGCACCGCCGTGTCCTTGTCTCTGGTCTTCCCAGGGTTCTCCCTCCCCTCCCACCCTCGCCTACTCCTCCCTGTCTTCCCTGTGTCGAGGGGCGGCAGCGCGCCGCTCCTCACTCCTCCTCATTTCCCCTGACGACGGCTCCCCTGCAGACCCTGCACATGGACGTGTGGGGCCCAGCCCGCGTCAGTGGGCAGGACCGCGAGCGGTACTTCCTGCTGGTTGTTGACGACTACTCGCGTTTCACCACGGTCTTCTCCTTGCGCACCAAGGGTGAGGTCCCTGATGTTTTGATCCCTTGGATCCGCGCTGCCCGTCTCCAGCTCCGCGAGTGGTTCGGGACGGAGTTTCCCGTCCTGCGTCTGCACTCTGACAGAGGTGGGGAGTTTTCCTCCGACCTTCTGCAGAGCTTTTGTCGTGGGGAGGGCATTCGCCAGACGTTCACGCTTCCGGCCTCTCCGCAGCAGAGTGGGATTGCTGAGCGCCGCATTGGCTTGGTCATGGAGGTCGCTCGTACCTCCATGGTCCATGCGGCCGCCCCCCATTTTCTGTGGCCGTTTGTGGTCTGCTACGCCGCGCGTCAGCTCAACCTCTGGCCCCGTGTCTCCTTGCCGGAGACCTCGCCCTCACTGCGGTGGACGGGGGAGGTTGGCGATGCGTCGGTGTTCTGGGTCTGGGGTTCTCGTGCCTTTGTCCGCGATACCACCGCGGACAAGCTCTCCGCCCGTGCTGTTCCCTGTGTCTTCCTTGGCTTTGTCCCTGACGCGCCTGGTTGGCAGTTTTACCACCCCACCTCGCGCCGTGTCTTCCCCTCTCAGGACGTCACGTTCGACGAGTCGGTTCCCTTTTACCGTCTCTTCCCCTACCGCACTGCCCCTCTCCCCCCCCCGCCACTCTTCCTCGCTCCAGGTGCTA